TCCTAGTTCCTACACCTATTTTAAATGCTCAATTATCTGCAAAACCATGGGATTAACTCACCAAGGGTATTACAAAAAAGTGATCACTTGAGGTAGTGACCCTTATCATTGAGAAGGATAGGCTGGCATTCTATTTTACTCAATATAGCATTCAGAACATTTATTGATCTTCTATTTTTTTTTTTTTTTTTCTGAATAAGTGTTGACAAAGCATTCATTGACCTTAACCTAAATAACCATAAGAGGTTTGACTATTGGAGTAAATGATTGGTATGCAGACCAAATATCTTGACATACTTCCCGATAATGTTCGGTGCGACCGAATGAGTCAAGTTTTTTTTCGAGTGACAAGCTTGTGATTGTGTTCCTTATCAAACCTAATCACAACCCACTCATTGTTGGCATTTATGCTAATGTCAATCCTAGCTATACATCCACACCTTGTTTGAGGGATTTTCCTTATACATATTGCATCTTTTTGTTTATGGAACCCTTCTTTAGAGCATTTAAATTCCCTATCTATTCTCTCCGTCTATCCTTGGTAGGAGTACTTGCCCTTTGGACCCCAAACCCACACGCTAATGCATAAGCCTTGTAATAGTCACATGCTTCTTCTTCAGAACCAAATTTCATCCCTATTTTGGGATCTTCTATTTCTAATCCCTTGGAAGACGCACCATATTCCCCAATTCCCATATTTGTAGACTTAATAGGGGCAGTTGTTAGCAATGTATCTTGCTCCATGTATTCATTAGTGTCCCCCATATTGGGCTCAATGGTGTCCCCTATATTGTCTTCATCTGAAGACGTGGGAGATGACATGCTACCTGAAATGGTGAGATCCAACTTACGTAATTGAAAGACCCTACAATAAACACAAAGTTCTTAATACTATTTCGCCACAATACGTGATATTGATCTAGGCTTAACCAAATAAGCCTATAGAACTATTTTGTTCCCTTAAAGAAAAAAGGAAACCAAGATGCTCTAAAATAATGGCTTGAGCGTGTGCATCATAGATGTTAGATGTCTCCATATGTTTGTAAAATTCATGTTGATGTATCCTGTCATACAGTATATCACTTACTCAAAGGACAAAGAAGAAACAATAATACTTATAAAGATATGGATATAATAACCAATTACTCATAAGAATAAATGTAAATGAATGGCAATTTTGATATGGAGCTTGAAATTGTTGCGGTTACACAAGACACCAACAATCATGGAAAGCATCAAAGCTGCATAAAAATATAAATGGGCGATCCCGGTCACTGGATTTTATTATCCAAAGGTAAAGTACCCCAAGCCTAAACTTTGACATAGCTCCAAAGGAAACCAATGCATGGAGTAAGCTAATGATGAGCAAGGCTGCATCAGCATTTAGGTTAGGGATTTTTTCAAACCTATTGAATGCACACATCAGGTGGTTTACATGAGGCAGCTAGTTACCTTATTGGCAAGGCTAACTCATATTGCATGACACAAAAATAAGCAATGCAATAATGATCTAAACGCTGTGCTAATGCATCGTTTAAAAATCAAGGACATTGATGGTGTTGCAATTTCTAACATTTGAATGCACACATCAGCTGAAATCAGTGATTTAAAAGTCATCAAGTCGGCACGAAATCGGCCGATTCGAATCGGGAATTAAAAGTCGTTGAGTCGGCACGGAATCGGCCGATTCGAATCGGTAATCTGACATCCCGTGTTGATTCTTTTGTAAAGCGGAGAATTGACCGGTTTTAGAGCAGAACCCGTCGAGTCGGTACGGAATCGGCCGATTGGAATCGAGAATCAGACATCCCGTGTCGATTCTTTTGTAAAGAGGAGAATTGACCGGTTCTAGAGCAGAACCGGTAATTCTGTACAGATAATCGTCCGATGACATCATGACTCGCCCGATGCACATGATGTCATGACTCGCTTGATTTGCCCGATTCTGTGACATCATGAATCGCGTATGGGGCATTTTTGTAATTTTTTGGGTTAAAATTGACAATCACGGTTAAATGCCACGGCGTCCCTCGTCACAAGTCCCACACTCCTCCTTGCATTCCGCATGCGAAAGACATTGATAGCAGAATAGTATTTATTCTGGCCAGTTTTCTACTGTGGGTTCGATGTGGGATAACTGTGGTGAAAGGTAATAGCTGAAAAGGAAATATAATATAATCTTTAAGTCGACCTATTAATATTAGAAATCAACTTGTGATATGGTGGTTAGCACGCTACTTTTTCTTTTGCACGTCGTGGGATCAACTCTTGGGCAAGTGACCCCATCCTTCCCTCGTCACAAACAAATAAAAGCTTTTTTTTACAAAAAAAAATAAAAGCCCTTTGTAAAAAAAAAATATGGTTCTTATAAAAAAAAACAAAAGAAGTGATAAAACTAAATTTCTTTTTGTTGTCAAAAAAGAAAAAAAAGTATAAAAGTTTCTTGTAAAAAAAAATATAAGGTTCTTGTCAAAAAAAAAAAAGGTAATAAAACAAAATTTATTTTTCTTGCCAAAAAATAAAAGTTTATTGTAAAACAAATATAAGGTTCTTGTCAAAAAAAAAAAAAAGGTAATACAACAAGTATTTCTTATAAAAAAAAAAAGGTTCTTGTTAAAAAAAAAAAAAAGGTAATACGACAAGTATTTCTTGTAGATAAATAAATAAAAGGTTATTTTCAAAAGAAATAAAAGGTTTTTGTCAAAAAAAAAGATCAAAGGTAATACATCAAGTATTTCTTGTCAAAAAATTAAAAAGTTAGATTTGTTTTTATTGGTATAATAAATTAATTATAACATGTAAACCAACAATTTTAATTTCAGCATATAATGTTCTCCACCAATTCGAGATTTTGGTGACCATTTTTCATCGATTTAAATCATTCTTTATTATAGTCCATGTATGATTATATACTTCATCCATGATAATTCTATGATTTTTTTTTTGTGTGATGTAAATTTAATGGTTAAAATAAATTCATACAGGAAAAAACATCTCAATATTCATATATTAATGAAAAAATAAAAATTAATAATGTAGTTGTAACAATCCTAAAATTTCAAAAAAAAGAAAAAAAAAGGAGAAAATATGTTTATAAATAGGTGATGTTCTGTTTGAGTATGATGGTCCTTGGGGACCATCACTGTTTTCAAAAACTTTTGCTTTGAATTAACTTTTGCTTTGCCTTTACTTTTTCCTTTCCCCGCTTTTGCCTCCTGCTGCTTGCAGCTGGCAGCGTCCTTTAGCGGACGTGGTTTTCATACGATAAACGTTTGCTTTTAACGCGACACCTCAGGTATGAGGTAGAGCGTAAGAAAATAATATAATAATACGTTATAAGAATTTAAATAGGGGATGTGAGCACTCCCATCCTAAAACAAAACTTTGAGATCTCTCTCTGGTC